ACTCAGATGGTTTTCGGAACATTATGTACCAATTTTGAGAGATTCATCTGATGGTAATAATGCTATACTGATACTAACGGAATAGGAGATATTCTAATCAACTTCTTCGTATTGTAAAAATCAAATTGATCAATTGAACATTTCTACATTAAGAAAAATTCAATAATCTCATTGAGTTGGGAAAATGTTGCAGGTGTCAACAACGAACGCGCTGAGGAAAACACTTTGGTATTTCCCAGAAAGTAGGAAGATTCTCCAAAAAAGGACTTCGATATTATATTGTTTTGAAACAAATTGTACAAAAGAGCAAAGAGACAGAAAAAAGACGGCCCTTGAAGAAGAAGAAGCAGTATTCGAAAGAGAAACAGGAGGAATTCAGAGAAAAAGAAAAAGTGATCAAGAACTGATGGACGAGAAAAAAAAACGATTAGAAAAAGTTGCTGAGCTGAAGAAAAAATGGTTGAACTCATCTCAAACATCAACTGGATCGAGTGATGCATAGCCGATCAAGATGAAAATATGAAATATATTCAAAATTCTTGGTGAAATCAATCAAACTTATTTTTCTTTCAAACTCTATATCTCTTTCGTTAAAATTCCAATTCCTAGAATTCCTCCATTATCTATCTGTCCATATAATTGATTAGGGAAATATATTCTTCCAATTGAGTAGAGGCCAATTACATACCATGAATTCCCCCTCTATGAACCTACGTATAACATCGCGTTTCAAGACTTTTCCAGAAAACTTACGAGGATCCTTGTGAATAATCTGTTGGATTCTGACGAATAGAAGCATGGTGCGTCAATCTCCACCACATTCTATAAAACAATAACATCAAAATACTTTTCTATTCCAAATTTTTAATTTCTAAGAAATACGGAAAAAAACGTAAGGCCACGGTGTAAACTCTTGATCTAACTCGGCACTTCCTGAGTCGTTTAGTATTCGAGGAATATTAGAACAATTTCGTTGGACATATGTGAACATTTTCATTCCGAAATATTTTTCAAGACTTGCTATCTAAACGAATCAAAATAAAAATATGGTGAATCTGTCCATTAGTTTTGGATGTTCGCAAAAAAGAACATAAACAAACTAATGGTAGTTTTCCTAAAAGAAATAATCGACAGATTCAGTTGAACTTCTGCACAGATTTGCTCTGTGCTGTCACCTAATGTGCCAAAATGTCAGCTATTTCGGAGAAACTGACCACTTGAGAAAATTGACCACTAGAAGACAGCCGCTTAAAATGACCACAAAGGACGTGGCATTCAAATTTTATATTTTTTAAATACAGACCATTGTAAATGATTTGCAATATGCATTAGAGATTCGGAAAATGGACGGATTGCAAAGCTTTTTCCGGAAACTAAAACTAAATAATTTCTAAAAAAATTTGTATTCGACAAAATAGTGGACGGATTAATTTCTAATAATTATCAGTTATTTTACTGAGTAGTATCGACCAATAGCCAAAATTTTAAGTCGTTGAAAGAATTTTGAAGTACTTCATAGCCTACTTCAAATGGAAAAATGGAAAAGTAACAATATCTCGAAAACTTTGAATGGAACGATATACATATTTTCATTCGGCTCGATAGCCCTTATCATGACGAGTATTTTCAAAAAAAAAAAAACTTCATTCGGTATAGTAGTTCTCGAGATATTAGAGGGTAGAGCTTTAACTATAAAGTGGAATATCTCAGGAACTACTGGTCCGATTTCGCCCATCAACAATACCAATCATTGTTACCATTAGCCATATAATCGTACAAAATTTCAAGTTTCTATCGCAATTATTTTTTGAGTTATCGTGGTAACGAGCGATTTCATGAAAAAAATGAAAAAATGAAAAAAAACTCTGTTTCCGGTGTTGGGTCGATCAAGTTTTGATGTAATCAGATAGATATCATGGTTATACATATTCTGGGAAAAAATTATTGAAATCGATCGAGTCGTTTAGCAGATATTCACAAAAAACGATTTTTGAGAAAACGCCATATCTCAGGAACCATCCAACCGATCAAGCTGAAATTTTGCACAAATTTGTATGTCATCAAAACCTATCATGAGCCAGAATTTCAGCCCTTTCGCGGGAATAGTCTTGGAGTTATTAACATGTTTCTGGACGAACACACACACATACATACACACGCACACACATACATACGGACATCGGCTAAAAATATCAAATGTCGGCGTTTCAGACCACCCTGAGTCATATTCATGCAAAATTGGAGAATCGAAAAAAAAGTGATTACAATGCTTCCATTCGGAAGCAAAAGGAAAAAAATAAATCTTTAGAAACAATTCTTTAAATTCNTTTTTAGTTCGAACTCCACGAGTGGAATGACCTTCACTCAGAAGGAAGATCTCCTCCAAGCGAAAAATCACCCCACCCCTGTGAAAAACCGAAGAAAAGTCCCAACCCTTAGTTACTTCCGCCAATAGTATGAAGGTACGGACCTCCCGCTACCTAAAAACCCATTGTCATAGGCCAAAGCCCAAACGCTCTCGTCCTTTGACCTGTCACACCCCCGGAAACTATAGTTTACGCTAGAAAGAAATATAGATTTTCTTTCCCTTAAATCCGTTGCAAAATCTACTAAATCTTATTACAAGCTCTTACGACATGATTATTCTAATGATAATTATTATAAATAACGAATTATTGGTCATTTCAATGATGATTAAACGATCCATTTGAATCCATTTTTATAGGAAAATAATTAACTTTAATCACTATAAATAATCTTTAAACCACGTTAAACGGATAATTGAGTATAATTACATAATCCTAATTACTGCGATAAAAATAAAAATTATTCTTTCCTTTGAAATTTATAACTTTTTATACGATCATATTCTACCAGTTCATTAATAATAATCCGAAAACTAAAATAAGTTTTCAGATAAAATGTCGAAATCTAGCAGTTTAAGTCAGAAAATAATGAAAAACCAATAAAAATATAGCCTGTAATGCTAATCTTAAGCAACAATTCATGTTCAAACAATGTTTTTCATAATACAATTGTAAAAACTAAGTTTTTATAAGTTTAATCAATTCAAATTTTGTATTCTACCTCTTAAGATTTGTCTCAATCGATAATATCATTATTCTGGAAGATCGAAAGTCGATAATACCACATTCTCCTAGAACATTTACCGAGCGAGGACGCTCGACTTTTTCTAAGGGGGGAGGTGTTACGTCCCTACCTTGGCCACCTGATGGCGTTATATTAAATTTTTAACTTTACTTTATCGACTGTCGAGTCTTACCAGCAATTAGTATATAAGGCCCAATATTCGAATATCATTTTTCCAATCCAATAAAATAAGAAATTATTAATTACATTTAAGAAATAACACTCAAGTGTCCAGACCACATTTTTTCTTGAGAAACATTTAAAAATACCATTCCCACGTGATAAACGAAACCGAAAAACAGATGGATGCACACGTGCATCATAAACTTTTCAAAAAATCATAAAAGTCGAAATAAATATGTAAGATAAGTATTTTCATCCTGAAATTGTAAACCGAACACGGCGAACTCTAAAAATCTGAAAGTCATAAGTGTCAAGTGACATTTTCCAATTCTAACGTTCCGTGAGAACAGAATTTTCTTAAGAGTCAAAACGCAGCTGCACCCTTAATGTCCAAAAATCCAATCATAACTATCGAGGCTCCCCGCTTGACCCAAAAACCAACCGGCTCGCCTCTATCCTCTCCAGCATCCCTAATCAACCAATCCTACCCTCTGAAACTAGAGCGTGAACGCCCACGCGTGACCGCTAAGAAACCCTTAGATATTCAAATCCTTCCTTAGAGAAATCACTTCAATCTACAACTTCAAAGTGGAAAGTAGAAATAACTACCTCTTCCGATCTTATTCAAAACACTAAGTTAAACTTCTAGTTCAAGTCAAGTCCCGGTGAATATTCTAACTCCGAAATCCTATTTCCTAATTCAAGGTGTTCGGGACTCAAATCACAGTGTTATTAAAATAATCGAAGTCAACTGAAATAACCAAAATTGAAGAAATAAAAAAACATTTAAAATATCAAGTGAAACTTAAATCATAAGATTCAAAGACTACAATAGTGAACAGTGTAATAAACCCAAGTGTTATTTGTTATTGAATAAATATTGTTAAATTAAACAATTGTGTCCTAATCGTGTTTGATTGGTCAGCTACGCGCAGTAGTCGATTGGAAAGAACCTACCTAAAGGAATAGCTTCCCTCAACACCTGGAGTTATCGACCAGAAGGGTTAAATCTTTTCTTCTAAATCCAGATCAATTCTTAACTCAGTGAAAATAAAAGAATAATCCATTTCGGACGTAACAGTTTATTATATTCAGGGGGTAAAAAAACAGATTACTCTTTTAAACCCAGGAAATTTCTTATTGCGATCCGGTGGAATCAAGATTGTTCCCAATTAGTTGAAGATCGCAAATGTAGAGTGAAGTATCTTTTTGAAAATTTCACAGAAGAAAATTATAGAGAATATAAAAAAGCGTGTAAAAGTGCTCGTAAAGGATTATTTCGCATCAAAAGAAAATCTGACATATCTTTTTGTGGTTCTTTAAATCCAGATATGGCGATCGATAAAATTTGGGGATATATAAAAGCTTTTAAGAATAGAAAATTGAATAATACCCAACGATAAAATAATTCCCCTGATGATCCAAAAATTGAAGAAACTATTGAGAAAGTTGCTCCTGAAATTCCACCTGTTCTTATTAACATTATTCTATTAAAAACTGAGGTATCTCGCTGAAGTTTTGTTATACATCAGTGTATATCAACATCTCGTTTGAAATTGAATATCCTAAAATCTTATATTTGAGACCATCATTCGATAAAATTGAATCTATCAATTCACAACTAGGGAAGAGTCATCGTGGTAATGATGTTTCTAATTACGAGACATTGTCTTTTTGAGGTTTATTATTGAGAAGTTTTATTCAGGTTCGATGAACACACCCTAGCACCTCACCCTCATTTCTCGGGATACTAGGATGTGTTGATCTCAATATCTATTTACACATATGCTAGAGAGTAGAGGATTAAACATAATAGTAAACACTCAGGTAAATATAAGAACATACATTTATAAAAAGAAGATGTCTGTTGATCACTGGAGTGATGCGTACGCCGGCCTTGCCGTCGTATCTATAGTACTCCTGATTTCTCGGAAATCGCAGGATGTTGTGGTCGGCATATTAGTCGTCATCCGAATCCTCAGAATATTCCGGTACCGTATTCTCCTCATCATCATCCTTTTCTCTGGACTCCTCATTTTCCTCTTCGGACTCATCACCATCTTCTCCTCCGGACTCCTCATCTTCTTCTTCGGACCCCTCATCTTCCTCTTCGGACTCATCATCATCTTCTCCTCCGGACTCCTCATCTTCCTCTTCGGACGCCTCGTCATCCTCTTCGGACTCTTCACTCTTCGATTTTTTTTTTTCTGAATAACTAAGAAAGTCGAGGATATTATCTTTGTCGACTTCCCTGTCAATCATTTCTGCCTCCATAGGGCAATCGATTACGTATAATTTATCAGCAGGTACTGGCTCCAGAACGTGCTGCGTGAAAGGCTTCTTCTCGCACAAGTATGCGATGTATTTATCGATTTTACGTCGTTCAGCTTTGCTTATGTCTGTTTTCAAAATTGGTAGCTGTTGTAGTATAGATACATTGTTTTTCAGTTGAAGTTTGAACCCATTGCGTCTTTTGTCAACAATCCCATTCCCGAATCCAAATGTTTGTACTGTCATATTCTTTAGTTGTGAACAGCATGAGCACGTACGTATGTGCCACATTAATTCTCTCGCAACTATAACTGGAGGTGTCTCTTTTAATTCATTTTGAAAGAGTGGAAGATGGACTGCAATTTGCTCCTGTCGTGCATAGTGCCTTGTCATGATTATTCTCATCATCGTAGTGTTAAAAAGTGCCCCATCTTCAATTATTTTGAGGAGTGTCGGAAACAAATTCCTGCGAAATGACACGCTATATAAACTAAAAATGATCTCTGTTGCACCACACCAATATTGTTGGCGGGTCTTATGATTTGCAGGATGGAAAAAAGGAAACTGGGCACGTGCGTCAGCCATCTGTAAATGAAAAAAAAAGAGTAGTATTAGAAACAAGTCGGATATGGGATGATATTGCATTTAAAATAGTTATTGTTGCTAATGAATGAGCAATAAGCTTCCAGATAATTTTGGGCTTAGATACGTCACTGAGATTACTTCTCCATTACAGGTGTCCTTCGATAATGGAAATAGGAATGAATTAGACAGATTATAACTCGATGAAATTCCGCCTATTCAAAATATTGATGGACAATTCGATATTGACTGTCCATTCGACAATGGATTAAAAAAGAAATAATAGTTCATTGGGGTACTGTATATAGTAAGTATCGTTGAAATGTGATCGTCTGAGTTATGAATCGGACTGAGTTATGATTTAGATTTTTAAAGAATGAAGTTTTTGAAAAAAATCGATTTTTTGAAAAAAATTGTTTACATTATGACTTTGTTGAAAAATGTTCTGCATCATGAAATGAAATGTTCTGCATCATGAAATGAAACTCCTGCCAAATTTTGGGCGAGAAAGAATTTTTTTTGACAGAGTTATGATTTTTTAAATATTTTGTCCTTTTTTTACTGAAAAAAAAAAATTTTCCATCTTTGTGAAATTCCGCGCCAGGGTTATGGATATCATAATTACATTATAGGGAGACCATAGTACACTGAAAAAACTTGGAAATGAGGCCTGAAAAAGTTGATTCCATGCATTTTCAACCACGTTATACCAAAAACAATATTTTTCCAAAAATTGCAATAACTCAAAAACTTAATTTTTTAAAAATCTCAAAATTTGTTACAGGCTTCAGGTCATAATTATCCACATTCCTGCGAAGTTTCGTATAGATTATTGTAGTATTTATTTTTTTATAGTCAAATTAAAATTTTTTATTTCAATCACATAATTTCGATATTTTTAATACTAAACCATGCAAAGTAGTGGAAATTTTCATTAAACCTTTTTTGTAAAACAAAATACGCTCTACAAAAAAGGTTTTATAATATTTTTTCGTATCTGGCTTGGATTAGCAGATATTCCATCAAAACTCTTTCTCGAATCGGATTAACACTTCGTTTAATTGAAAAATCTCATAAACCACGCCACTTTTCAATTTTTTTGTAATAACCTTTTCCTAAGAGCAAAACTGGATTCAAAATCTAGGTTTTCTTGAAAATTCCTCTGTCTCACTCGGATGATAAGTTATCGAAGGAAATCCAACTTTCAGGGTAGAGCCACGTCAGATCCGAAATGGAAAAAACTTCATGTTTCCAATTGTGTTCACGTTTTTTTCGAGAAGAACTATCCGAGACCAAGCTTTCAAAAAAGTTTCAGACTGGTCCGATTTTATTTCAGTGAGTTACGATTTTTTGAAAAAATGAACGTATTTTTAATATTGTTTTCAAAGTGAAATAATTCCATTTGAAAAATTCATAACTTACTGAAAAAAAATCGGAACAGTCTGAAATTCTCATGAGACCTTGGCAGTTCTTATCGGGAAAAAAATCGCGAACACAATGGGAAATATGAAGTTTTTTCCTCTACTCCGAAAGTTACATTTCCTTCAATAACTCATCATCCGAGTGAGATAGAGGAATTTTCAAGAAAACCTAGATTTGAAAAGTGGCGTGGTTTATGAGATTTTCCAATTAAACGAAGTGTTAATCCAATTCGAGAAAGAGTTTTGATGAAATATCTGCTAATCCAAGCTAGATACGAAAAAATATTATAGGACCTTTTTTGTAGAGCGTATTTTGTTTTACAAAAAAGGTTTAATGAAAATTTCCACTACTTTGCATGGTTTAGTCTTAAAAATATCGAAATTATGTGATTGAAAAAAAAAAGTTTAATTTGACTATAAAAAAATAAATACTAAAATAATCTATACAAAACTTCGCAGGAATGTGGATAACTATGACCTAAAGCCTGTGACGAATTTTGAGATTTTTGAAAAATTAAGTTTTTGAGTTATTGCAATTTTTGGAAAAATATTGTTTTTGGTATAACGTGCTTGAAAATGCATGGAATCAACTTTTTCAGGGCTCATTTCCAAGTTTTTTCAGTGTACTATGGTCTCCCTATAATATAATTATGATATCCATGACCCTGGCGCGAAATTTCACAATGATGGAAAATTATTTTTTTTCAGTAAAAAAAGGACAAAATATTTAAAAAATCATAACTCTGTCAAAAAAAATTCTTTCCCGCCCAAAATTTGGCAGGGGTTTCATTTCATGATGCAGAACATAGAAAAAAATCGCCAACGGAATCGGTGACATCGAGTTATTTCGGCTTCGGTTTTGACGTGAATCTGCTCATATGTATATTTTGTTACTTACTAATTTTTACAAACGCATTTAATTGTATATTTATGTGTAATTTTTTTTTTGTTTCTTTTTCTTCTCTCTTCTTGTTCTCTTCCTTTTTTTGCATATTTTGTTTTTTTTATACAGTCGCTAATTATCTCGATGTAGATGCGACTAGATAAATAAATAAAAAAAAAAAATCTTTTATAGCAAAAAATGTATTCATTTATTGACCGGTTCATTCTTATATGATTACTGAAGCGGCTCTACTGCTTGTGGACATGAGGAGCAAAAAATAATGGTTTTTTCAAATTCTGTTTAGGTTATGTTTTTCGCAACCTAGACAACAAGAGTGCATGATCATAAACAAAAATGTGTTTCTACCGTCAACATACCGTATTACAATCGATCGATGATAATGACGAGGATGTCTGGATTTGTATTCCACCTGATTGTTATCGTGGTACAAGACGTGGCCTTAACTTGCATCGACTGATAGCGTATAGTTGTATCTACCACCTGCGCCGCCGGGGTGACCAATATTGATGGGCGATCCTGAATCGATTTTCTGAAAATCGATCTTTTTCTCTAGAGAATCGACGATTCCGATCCCGATTCTAAAAATCTAGATTAATTGATCTTTCGATTCTTTTTTCGGAGAATCGAATCGGAGGAAAAAAAATTATCTCATAAAAAAACAAGGGAAAAAAATGTTATTTCAATGAAAAAGGTGCCGATAAGTTCCATTCTGTTTACACAAATTCCGAGGAGGAAATTTCAGGGGCCGAGAGGTTCTCCAGGGCAAATTCAAAATTTCATGGAGCAAAGGGCTCACCAAGGGGGAAATTTCGAATGACCTTGAAGTTTGCTGAATTTGACAGTAGAATTACATTTGACAGCGGATAACTGGGAGAAAAAATCGAAAATTCGGAAAATGAAGGCATAGGTGACTGTGACATACGTAGAGTTACTCGCGAGGTTTCGTATATATTTTTTTAATCATCACTGTATTGATAATACTCCTATTACAATAAATTTAACGTTCCAGAAAATTTTCACCAACGGATATTTTCACAAAAAAACCATTTATAAAAAAAAAAAAAAATTCGCATTTCAAGCTTTACTAGATCATTCTGCGATACTCATTATTTTTTCAATTCTCCATTTCATAAATAAAATATCCGCTGCTATACGATACAACTTTGTCAGCATTTAATCTATAAACTATACCTCCTAGAGAGATGACAAAAATTTCTAGTTTTTTGTAATTAAAATGCCCACCTGCGATATTCCTTCTTTTTTTTTTCTTACTCTAATTCGAAGATTAATTCAATATTAACGCTTGCAGCTATGGAAAAAATGTAAATAATTGAACAAAATGTGGGTTACAAATTTTTTAGGCAGAAAAAATATGGCCCTACTATACATCCGATAAATATACCTAATGAACAGAAGAATTATTTAAAGATTATCCATGATTACTTCTTTACTTATATTTTTTAAATTCAGATACCGAAAAATAACAATTCTTCTGTGAAAATTCACAGAAATTCTGTGGAGCGTTCCTTGTTCACACAGAATGATTTTTTTAAATTCAATTTGGCCTGTTTCTGGTTTTCATTTTTCAGATTTTTTGATGAATTAAATGTCTATTGTAGAGAAAGGAATAATATATTAACAAATACTTGACAAACTACAAAATCAGCTTTTCAATGCATTTTTTGAGATTCTGTTTTCTTTTCTTACTCTAATTTGAAGATTATTTTAATGTTAATGATTTCAGCTATGGAAAAAATGGAAATAATTGAACAAAATGTGGGTTACAAATGTTTTAGGCGGAAAAAATATGGCCTTACTATATAATACAAGTCCCATAAATATAATAATAATCGCGTTGAGTTTACTACGCTATCGGACTTTGTTCCCGAGATAATTAATAACAAACGCTAATTAATGCCTAAAAAATTTGTAACCCACATTTTGTTCAATTATTTACATTTTTTCCATAGCTGCAAGCGTTAATATTGAATTAATCTTCGAATTAGAGTAAGAAAAAAAAAAGAAGGAATATCGCAGGTGGGCATTTTAATTACAAAAAACTAGAAATTTTTGTCATCTCTCTAGGAGGTATAGTTTATAGATTAAATGCTGACAAAGTTGTATCGTATAGCAGCGGATATTTTATTTATGAAATGGAGAATTGAAAAAATAATGAGTATCGCAGAATGATCTAGTAAAGCTTGAAATGCGAGATTTTTTTTTTTTTTATAAATGGTTTTTTTGTGAAAATATCCGTTGGTGAAAATTTTCTGGAACGTTAAATTTATTGTAATAGGAGTATTATCAATACACTGATGATTAAAAAAATATATACGAAACCTCGCGAGTAACTCTACGTATGTCACAGTCACCTATGCCTTCATTTTCCGAATTTTCGATTTTTTCTCCCAGTTATCCGCTGTCAAATGTAATTCTACTGTCAAATTCAGCAAACTTCAAGGTCATAATTTCGAGGGCTAAGAGGTCCACCGAGGCAAATGGGAAATTTTAGAGCACACAAGGCTCACCAAGGCGAAAATTCTAGGGGCCTCGAGGTTCAGCAAGAAGAAAATCTCAGGGGTCACGAGATTCTCCAAGCCAAGAGAGAACTTTCAGGACTCAAGAGGTCTACCTAGGGAGAAATTTCAGAGACCGAGAGATTCACCACTTCAAGTGGGCAATTGCAAGAGTCACAAGGTCTACCAAGCCAAGTGGGTAATTCCAGGGGCCAAGGGGCTCAGAAAGCCATCTAGAAGCGAAGGGGTTCAAAAAGCCATGTAGATAATTTCAAGAGATAACAGGTTCAGCAAACCAAGCGCGAAATTTTAGGACCCAAGAGGTTCGTACTCATGGCCCCTGAAATTTTCCACTTGCCGTGGAAGACCTCGTGGCCCTGGAATTTTCTTCTCATGGTTTGTTGAACGTCTTGGCCCATAATATTTCTCGTTTAGTGGACCTCTTGCACCCTGGAAATTCCTCCCTTGGTGGACCTCTTAGCCCCTGAAATTTCTCCTTTGGTGAGCCCCTTGCCCCCTGGAATCTATAATTTACCTTGGAGAACCTCTTGGCCCCTGTAACTTCCCTCTTGGTGAGCCTCGTGGCCCCTAAAATCTCCCATTTGTCTTGGAGAACCTGTTGGCCCCTGAGATTTTCCTCCCGTTGAGCCCCGTGCCATCCGAAATTTCTCCTTTGGTGGATCTCTTGGCTCCTGAAATTTCTCCCTTAACTTAGTGGACTTCTTGAAGATTTATTTTCCCTTGCGCCGCTTGTGATGTTTGAATGTTGTAATTCAGGTATCTTTTGTTGGATCGCGGATATCTTTTAGGATGTCGGAACAGTTACGTTTTTGTTTGCAGAAAAGTAGGCAAATGTCTGCACTCATGGACGCGTCAAATTGTTGACTTTATGTCACTAAGGATGGATAACAAAACGTAACTCCTGCTAGTTATCAAAAAGGTGACTTTCTGATCGAAAAAATTGATAAATCTGGTAGCATATCGTCGACTGTTAACGTAAACTCAAATCCCAATGTTATCCAAATATAGTTTGCAAATTGCCAACGGCAAGCCCGTCATACGGTAGCAAATGGATATCTTCCAGATATCTTATTGACATCAACTGGATAATGTATGGACACTTCGGAAAGTCATCTACAAGTTATCTAATTTGAATAGGGGAAGGATAATTATGCTACGAAATTGCTACTATTTGCAATGCTCGCGCTCACAATCTTTTAAACGCCCGTGCTGAAAGACCAGTGTAGTGGGAGAATTATGGGTAAGTTGCCCGTGGAGCGCTAAAGCACTCTGCTCGCACAGCGGGAAGTTTAAATAATTTTACTCGACACACTGAACTTATGGAATTTACTCAAAGACTTTAATTGAAAATAATAATTCAAATATTATACACGAACGATTTGTTGTTTTCTGATGTTGCTTCTGCAAACGATGAGAGACAAGTGTCCTTCCAACTATTTCTAGAGACTTATGTTAAGTTACAAATGTTCTTTTTGTCACTCTGTGCGTAAGGCAGCGCTTTAGGTACACTGCGTGCTCTTAAAACGCTGCTTACGCACATCGTAACAAAAAATATTGTTCGAAACAGTTGGGACAAGTGTTTTTAAGCTCGTGGGATTGTATCACTCGCCTTCGACTCGTGCTACAAACCTCCCACGAGCTCAAAAACACTGGTCCCAACTGTATCGAAATATACTATTAAGATCTAGGTTACACCCCTAGGGTAAAGTGGAGAACTAATCAGGGTAGGTTATACTTAGTGGAGGGCGGCGCTACACCCCCACACGACTCTGGCCCTTCAGACCCATTCCTACGGTAGCTACGTCACGATTGACCCTGGGCCCTAGGGTAGGGGAAGTGTAAGTGGAAGGAAAGCAGGGGAAATTAATGAGGAGAAAATATCATGGGTGCCCACGTGTCCCCAGGAAAATAACGGGAATGGTAATTAAGGGGATTAGGCGGCGAAGAGTGTATTTTCCCTGAGGATTAATGGAATTAGGGTACGAAAGGTTTTCTCAAAACTTTATGGAGGCAAAAAATAGTCGGAAATTACTTTTTATAACAGAAATAAGCCTTATTGCACCGAGAGTTTTGCAAGAGATGGCAAGAAAAGGTCGGCGAGAAAAGAGAAAATTTACAACGAGATTTAAAATATTGGAAATTAACGAAAAAGGAAATGACGGGGGTTTATGAGAGGTCTGGGATATTTGAAGAGGAACAATTTAGAAGTAATTTCAAGAGGGTCTAGATTTTGTCAAACAGGTGGCAAACAATTATTCCCCATAGGTTTTTCCCACTTATAATTAATCTAATCGATTCTACTTATTTAATATTATTCTTACATTTTCCGAGTTATCAAAGAGATTTATATAATTTCAAATGTAGTATTAATTTCGCTCACCCGACAAGAGCGTCGTTGGGGAATTTTTAGGGACTCTAGTGTATAACCAACGTTATACACAACTGTCGCATAAACCCCTAGTAGCGACATAGGGTCCCTAAGACCACCATATTTTTACTAGATTATACAGTCATGATTTGAATAAGTCATTTATCAACTTTTACATTTGATATCATGATTTAGACTACTCCAAATATTCTCACGGTTTTGAAACTAAGAAAGACAAGATTTTAGAAAGCGAGTTGAAACTCGTAAACAGGGAATGAACAATAAATCTTAGAATATTTCTCGCGACGTAGCGGAGGCCACCCTAAAATAAAGCCCTTTTGTAGAGTTTTTCTAATAGAGTTTTCTAGTGCAATTCAAGCTTGTCAAGGGACAGTAAAGGTCGTAAAACCTTTCCCGGAGACAGTTTATTTTCCCGAGAGCAATTTGAGTACTTTTCCTCTCTCTCACTCCATACCACATGTTAGGCCCATTGTTCGGGCCACGCACACTTGAGAATTCGGGGCTGGACCCACGCGCTAGACC